CGTGCGTGCGTGCGTGCGTGCGTGCGTGCGTGCGTGCGTGCGTGCGTGCGTGCGTGCGTGCGTGGGTGGGTGTGTGTGTGTGTGTGTGTGTGCGTGTGCGTGTGTGTGTGTGGGTGTGCGTGCGTGCGTGCGTGCGTGCGTGCGTGCGTGCGTGCGTGCGTGCGTGCGTGTGTGCGTGCGTGCGTGCGTGCGTGCGTGCGTGCGTGCGTGCGTGTGCGTGGGTGTGTGTGTGTGTGTGTGTGTGTGTGTGTGTGTGTGTGTGTGTGTGTGTGTGTGTGTGTGTGTGTGTGTGTGTGTGTGTGTGTGTGTGTGTGTGTGTGTGTGTGTGTGTGTGTGTGTGTGTGTGTGTGTGTGTGTGTGTGTGTGTGTGTGTGTGTGTGTGTGTGTGTGTGTGTGTGTGCGTGCGTGCGTGCGTGCGTGCGTGTGTGTGTGTGTGCGTGGGTGCGTGCGTGCGTGCGTGCGTGCGTGCGTGCGTGCATGCGTGCGTGGGTGTGTGTGTGTGGGTGCGTGCGTGCGTGCGTGCGTGCGTGCGTGCGTGGGTGGGTGGGTGGGTGGGTGGGTGGGTGGGTGGGTGGGTGGGTGGGTGTGTGGGTGTGTGTGTGTGTGTGTGTGTTTGTGTTTGTTTGTTTGTTTGTTTGTTTTCCCAAGAATCTTTTGGGCTCTTGAAAGTACCCTTTTTGGACCGCAGAAAATCCCCCGCCCTGTTCCACCTCCACTGCAGGCGGGCCCCCGGTGCGCAAGACACGCATGGTGCGGAAGCTGCGGCCCAAGCCAGGGGGCGCCCCGCGCGGGGCAGCCGCGCCACCGCGCCGGCAGATGGCCTTCAATCAGCAGGCCCTGAAAACTAGTTTCTTTCCGTTCTTTCCGTTCTTTCCGGTTTTCTTCTTGGATGCCCTCGAAAATCTGCCAGCCAACAAAAAAGGGCCTTCTTCGCCAGGGTGAGAAACAGTTTGAGGGGTTTTCGGTTGTGTGTTTTACCCCAAAAGCCTCATTTCAGTGATAGCAAATCACAAGTAGTTGCAGAGATCTACAGATACACAACAAATACACAAAGCATTACAGCCACAAAGACAAACCAAAATAAACAACAATCAAACAATACAAGCAAATACGAACAACCAGAGACAGCCACGAATAAACGCCGCCGGTGTTCCGTTCGTAGCCAAATAGAGGGCTTTGCCATGGCATGTTGTTTCAAGCAAATGACCTTGCCCACCTTTCGGACCCATCTTATGATCCAGGCCGGCCTTTCGAACCATGATGTGAGCCGCGAAAGAAAACAAACATTCGTTGAAAACGGATGGCTTGAAATACATACTCCAAAAAAGAGCGGATATTCAAAAAGCACCCCGCTTTCGGTGGTTTTACCTGGGATTCTGGTTTGGGGCCTTGACAAAATGTTGGTCGCGGACTCCAATAAGGGAGTGAAACGGTTTTTACAAGCCTCACAAATACCAGTTGCTGCCGTAGACAAATCGTCATGTTCACCCCAGCCTAGCTTTGAATTCACACGGGTTCGACCTTTGGTTCTCCTGTAGCATTGAGAAGGGGGCACCGTTTTGAGACACTTTCAACTTTCAACTGAAGTACATCTTTTCCCCTTTCCGAACATTTCTCGCTGAAAGTCGAGGCGCAGGCGCAGTCGCTGGCCATCCCGCAGCAGATGTCCAGCTTTGGTGAGGCGGCGCCCTCGCAGGCATCGGCGATTGGGCCCTACAAAGGCGCGGCCCAGTGGCTAGCCCAAGCCTTCCCAAACCGTCGTCCTCCAAAACTATTTAGTTACCAAATATGAAACATAATCTGAAGATATCATATTCTGCGTACTCTAGATGTGGGCCAAGCTGCGGCTAACGATTCGGGGCCCCCTACCCACCAATTGTTTGAAGGAGCCATTTCTGTGCGCCCCAATTTTGACATACCCGCAAGGAGGCCACCAAAAGATCCCTTTAAGAGGGAAGGTGATTTATCTCGTTCCGGATTCCACTGTATTGAAAGGGAGTTTCCTCTGATGTTAAAAGGACAGATATCGAGAACCCTGTGCAGCTTTCCCACGTTGTCAGTTGCTCTGGCTCTCGCTGGCTTCAGGCCCCAGCATCGACCAGATCGAGGAGATCATCAAGGACCAGTGTCGATTTCTGGGGTCTCCTGAACATCGACTTGTTTTGGGAACAGATGCGGGCCAAATACATCAAAATCATTATCTAGCAAAACACAGTAGCCAAATCAACAATCTGGAATTGTAAAGTGCAGTAGCCCCAGGATTAGCCTATGAAATAGTTAATACATAGCAAGCAACATAGTTAAACACAGTAAATCCCCTACGTTTGCCCGAACCCCCCCAACCTAATCAGGAAGTGATTTTGTCGCCACCCCAAACCAGGCAGAAGGTCTTAACCGAGACCCAAGCCGCGAACAGCGGGGTAGCCCGAGCACAGAACATCTACAGCGGGGCAGAATTGAGAGGGCAGAAAGTATCGCCCCTATCGCACTTTCAGACCCCCCTTGGTCTGAAAACCTCACAAAACCCAGCTCCTTGCGGCCGGTGGGCGAACGTAGGGTGCTGTGGAAACACGTAAGCCAACAGCAAGCAAGAGTAATAATTAGTAAACCAATAGCAACAAACAACTGTTGTCTACTCTCTTTTTTTAGTACAACAAACATGTTTTTTTGGTGTTGTTTTAAAACGTTTTGTTCTTATTCTAGTTCTCACTCATCCAGATTGCAAAACCATTTCCAAAAATAGTAAACAGGGTAACCTATAGTATAAATAGGTAAACATATAGTATACACATAGTAAACCACAGCAAACATAGTTGTTCCTTTTGCTCTTTTTACGAATACATACTAAGTTTCACAATTTGGATACTTCAACAGTTTTAAGACTATTTTATCATCCGCTGCTATATTTGCTTTTCCAACTGTCGTCTTTTGCTGGACATGAATTAGAAATCTGGAGCCCTAAGCCTGAATATGAAGTAGATGCAACACCAACACAATGCCAACAATAGTTCTCATTATTCAACATTCTCATCATTATGATTAGTCATTATATTTTTCGACAATTTGCGTTTTACAAATCAGTACTAATGCTTACTAGTTGGTACTATTCGTTTCCATTTTTTGTTGTGAGTGCTTTACAACTTCTTACATTGTACAACCCAATTTTTAAAACAGACACTAATAGTAAACAAAGTAAACACATGGTATAATATACTCAACCATTGTAAAGCAGTACACACTAGTTGTTACTACTTTGCTTTAAACGTTTTAAGTTTAAACGAAAGTTAGACGAATGTTGAACCATGTTTCACTATTTTGAAAGGCTATTTTTGTTTACATTTGTTAGACGAACATGTACTTTTCCAGATTGCCAATCCATCTCGGGGCCGCTGCACTTTGCAATTCTAGATTGCTATTCTTTACAATTTTTGTTGGGGACCACCCTCAGTGGTTACCAGTCCTACAACTCTTAATGGCAGGACGGTTCCAGCTCCCCGCAACAAGAGAGGCCAGGCCAAAAGGACCCTCCCCGTAGGACACCGCCCTGTCTTTGATCGGCGTAGAGACGTTGGACAACGACGAGCCTTTGATGGACGCTGGCCTCGACAGCCTGGCTGCAGTGGAGTTTGCCAACGCAGTGTCCAAGGACAGGGCTTGCATTTCCCTTGTGGTCTTAAACATCAGCTTTTGGGCCGATGCGAGACGCGATTTCTTCCCTTTGAAGCCAGTTCAAACATGGCTCTTGGGACCGATGTTTCATATGGAAGTATGGGAAGCCTCAAGGACTTTGTCGGTGTGCAGATGCCCAATACCCTGATGTTCGACTATCCTTCCGTCAAGGCCTTGACCCAGTTTATCGATGTGGGACTGAAAGATGCCCACGAACAGGGGCAGAGATGAACGGAGCAGAAACTTGGCTAGTGGCTTCTTCGGCGCTCAGGCGCGCCACGGCCGAGATATCAGGGCTTAGTAACCCCAAAGCTGCAAAGCGGCTTGGGGAGCGGACCTTTGCGAGGCTCAGAAGGAAAAGGGGTGGGCACGTGTTCTTGACTTGGACGCAGGTCCGGACTTTTGGGCTTCCCCATGAGTCCGAGACTTGAAAAGAGATTTGAAATGGGGGGGTTGGCGTGCTTTCGTTGGGTGGGTTGCCGTGCCCCCTTTCAAGAGAAGCCCAACCTGCGCCTCGGACTATCTAGATGGTTCAGGAGTTAGCCAAGTGGTTAGGCAGCCCTAGTTAAGCCCGACACACCCTTACAACCAGGGTTTCTTCAGCTACATTCGGGACCTGACACAATTTGGACACGAGATCATCGCGGGTAACACGTGGGATTCCACCTGAAGGTCATTTAGCGACAGGTTCCGTTGGCGTTGGACCAGCTACCAATGTGAACGACAAGAAATTGCCTGCAACAACCAAGTTTCAACAAAGGCATACTCCGAACAGGCGGAGTGGGCTAAACAGATGCCGCAAAAAGGCGACGGCCTTGGGAGATTCCGGGGGGTATACTCCGTGCAGATCTGCCAGAGATTTTGAGGAAATTTTTAGATGCGGCTTTTGGAGGCACAGAGCTTAGATACCACTTCTATAAGGGGTATGCTGCCGAACAAACTTACACTGATGGTTTGTCAGCCTTGCCTTCGAAACCATACCTGAAAATGGTTTCGAGGCTGGATTCGAGAGCCTGGAATGACAACACGGGCGTATTTGGGTTTTCCTTCAAGCCAACTGACAAGAGGGCTCAGCTTGACCCCAAATTTGGGTTGACACACCCCTATTCTAGTTGATCCCCTCCATCGGGCTTAGCTTCCCAAATTTCTTCGACACCGCACCCACCTTTGGGCTTGACAAGGCTTCCCTGCTTTTTTATCTTTGGTTTGTTCAAACATCATCTCGCAGTTATATTGAGTTTCCTGAAAGAGTTAGGTGATGCTTAAGAGGGACATGGAACCCTGTCTTTGGACGCATCCCTCGAAGGCTGGCGTTTCGAAGCTTTCGCCAGGTGGGAGCCATTCAGCAAGTGCGAGGACAGCTGGAGGACATGGTGGGGGACAAGGCGGAGCGTGTTGTGCGCGCGTGTGCGCTCGTTTTTCGTTTTTGTTTTTTGGTTCTATCCGCCCAATCTTTCCGGAACCCTCAATTACCCCCCGCCCCCTCTTCCGGTTTTCGGTTTTCGCGGATTTTTTTTTTTTTTTTTCCGAAACCTTATCTATGGTTGAAGACCCCAAACCTGTCGCTGTTTTTTTTTTTTTTTTTATTAAAAAACAAAAAAAACATAATTCCTCCCCATTCAAGAAAGAGGGCACTTTGTGTAAGCGGGAAGCCCATTCAGCGACTTTGGCCTTTGGTTCCTTGAGGTTGAGGCTGCAGAGATCCAGAGCCTGGCAAAGTACTTGGCGCAGCCGTGGGCTTGGCCAATTCGTGTGAGCTTCGGTGCCAGTTTGTCGAATTGGGACCTGGCGACCCCGGGGCGAACGAACTCTAGACTTCTCGGAAGAAGCAGGACCCACAACATTTCCCATGTCCTCTTGGGGGAACACGTAATTTTGCCCGACTGGTCAGGGGGGCATGGTACTGTGGATGGACAAGCTCCACACGTCAGTTGGGATGGATGAATCCCCTCGAATACTGGTTGACAAACCACCTATTCCAACTGGCCATCCACACTAAGAACAAATTCATGTGAACTTCTGGACTTAGATAATCGCAGGACCCCATCTGAGCAACCGGTAGTGGCTCTCCGGATTCATTGACACGGCATGCCTTACCTCCAGGATTCTCCATGACCCTCTAAAAGTGGGACAATGTACCTCAAATTTGGTACTCAATTCAAAGGGTCACGAAAACTTCAAGTACCTTCAACATGGAGGCTTGCTGGCGTTGACTTTCCTCGCACAGCAAATTTGCTTTTTGGAAGCATCATTCTCTGCAGTTTCATGACGATTTGAAAGTTTCTGCCACTGGGATGGTGCAATGATTTTGTAAGGAAGATGACCCTGCAAACCGGTCTCACCCATGCAGTACCCTTTCCAGAAAAAGTCGTGGCTTTCCTATTCAATAGTCCTATTTGAAAACCACCCCGAGAAGGGTAGCCCCAAAACAGACATACCCATCTCGCAGCCTCACTTGTTCAGCTCCCGGAAGCTTGCGAAGGCTTGTGCTTTCCTCCATCAAGGAGGTCTTTGCGCAAGCCAAGCTGATCCAAAACTGGTTCGACCAGAACACCAAGATCCTCAATCGCCTACAGGTGGGGGGGGGCATTTGTACTTCCGTGTTTTGAAGTGAATCTGGGGCTATTCAAGTGATGACGCTGGTGAACCCCCCCGCAAGTGTTATCACTTGGGTTTGCCTCAAAATAGGGGACCTTCGAAGATGGTGCCCCTAAACCCTAAACCCAAAAAGGGTAACGCGTCTTGGACCCATGGCCAGGCTCCGGCCTCGTGGATTTCTCCCATCGGTCTTGACTGTGTCCAGCCTTACCGCACACCCCACACGGTGAGCGTGCGCACAAGGCGCCAGAACGCCGCTCGGCTCGGCTCAGCCCGGATCCGGATCGGATTCAGTGGACTCTGTTAAAGGTCGGTTGAAATGAAAATCAAAAGGAACACACGATTTGTTTCGGGCGGATTTGAACTACTCCGCAGGACCGTACGAATCAGATATAGCTTGTTGTGCCGGCTGAATCCGAATTTAATATGAATCAGGTACCCCTGAATTGGTGGTTGGGATTGGTGGTTTGGGGATTTGACCCCTGGTTCTTGTGGAGGGTAAAAGGGAAACCCCTAACATTTTAGGTGGCTTTCCCTCCCGTCAAACGGGAAACCACCCTAACATACTGAGTGGATGTTGGAACGAGCGGATCATTTGTCCGGCCTGGATGAATCTGAGCTTGACATCACTCTCTGAAACCTCAAGCACATGACAAGAGGGACAACCTACTTTGGGGCCTTCGGCAAAAGAAACGGAGTTCCATGGCCGGTAGATGTCTGCCTGGAGTCTCCATGACTTTGTGAAGATGGGGTACCCCCCTGAAGATTAACATGGAACCCAGCCAACCATCATTTGTGGAGGAGAATCTCTTTTTGGGGCACCTTTTTTTGGTCCTTGCTAATTTGCAGGGGAGTAATGTACCAATATTTCGGGGCAAGTGTGAAAAGCCTCATGGAGACTCCAGCTACATGTTTTTCGTGGCGGGCTTCGAAGCCGCTTCGGACGGCTCCATCTTCGGCGCATGTCCACCTCCGAAACTTTTGAGGTGACGCTGAAAACTGGGGAGTCCGTCCTGCTGAACAAGGCGCGGCGTGAAGGGAGCGACTCCCAATCCCGGATGTGTTTCCCCCCGTTTTGGAACTGCAAAAACATTGGCAGAGTCATTGGAAGCCCCCGATAGATTATAACTTTTCAGTTGAAATCCGGAAACACCACCCGAGGCAGGTTCCCCAATCTTAGGAGACACAAGTCTTGATCAGATCAGCGACAGGCCCTTCAAACCTTCGGTTTGCTTCGGAGGAAATCGATCATCATTTTCTAGTCAGCACCCAGTTTTGTTCGGGGAGGTCTGGCATGGCGTGTCTCAAATGAGGGAAGCGCAGTTTTTTCACGGTTTCCCTTGGAACCAATCCCAAGAAGGATACCAGTACAATAACAAACCTGCCAGGCGCATATGAGCCACAACTAAAGCCTGGTACCAAAGGGGTCTACCCAACCCCAGTTTCGATTGTTGCTCAGAGACGGTGTCCCAAGAATTGGATATGGAGTTCTTAAGGGAGGGGGGTGTTAGTGGGGGGGGGGGAAATTTTAAACCCCCAAGACTCCCTAGCACTTCCTAGAGCAGCTTAGCAAGCCCTAGCGCTCCCTCCCCAAGGACCCCTAAAGGCCCCTAAAAGATTATTAGCCTCCTTAAGCTCCCCAGCCTTCCAAGATTTAAAGTCGTTGGCACCAGGGCTTTTCGGAACCCCTCAAAGTGAGTTCCCCAAAGTGAGCTTTAAGTACAGGGTTTACCGGGGTTTTTCGGAACTCCTTAAAACTTTATTCCTTAAGCTTCCCTAAGGCTCCCCCTTCCTAGGCTTCCCTAGGCTTCCCTAGGCTTCCCTAGGCTTCCCTAGGCTTCCCTAAGCTTCCCTAAGCTTCCCTAAGGCTCCCAGCCTCAGCAAGCGGGCCAAGAAAAATGATCAGCTTCAATTGGGTTGCTGTAAAACACGCAAAGGACCGAGTGTTTTGCGAAGAGCTTAGTGGGCGGGCAAGCGGCGAAGCAGGATGAGGGCTGAGCCGGATTCAGTATTTGAACCCTAGGCCTCCCTAGGGCTCCCTAGTCCCCCCCCCGTAACACCCCCCTCCCTTAAGAACTCCATAAATTGGGGATGGGTAGTTGCTCTTAGCTATTTCAGACCTATGGAGCGCCAGACAGGCCAGTGGCAGGCTGCAGAAGCTATCCGTTCACTTGTGCGCCTTTGACTTGTGCGCCTTCTGCCCCGCCAGAGCAAGCAGCGCATGGGCCTGCCGCCCAACTTCATCCATTCGCTGGATGCGGGGGCCTCGTTTGTTTTCGTTTGAGACAATGCCCAGGAAGTTGCTGTTTGTTCTATTTTATCCCTTGACAAAATGAGGGGTTGTTCCCTGTGACACCCGTAAATTGTTGCGCCCCACTCTCAAATGAAAAATCAACACTGGAACAGGCTTTCCAGTACCACACTTGAAATTTGAAAAGCACGTTCAAAGTTCTGTGTTTGTGTCTAAGGGTGCCCTCTTTTGGGGTTGTTTGAAAAGGACACCAGAACAAAACTTCTTCCTTTTTTGGGGGGCAGGGGCACCCCGATTTTGGGCACACCCATAATATCAGTTCGCAGGCCTTGCCTCCGCAGGTGTGACTGGCCTGCAACAGTCAGACTCTACGCAAATAGCCGAAAGGGTCCCAAGTTCAGTTGACACCCACGAGTGGAGACATGTCCTCTGTATTGTGCCTTGGGTTGTTCCCCCAAGAAATAACAGTCATCCCGCTTGGACGCCTGTTCTGATGTTGGTTGGTCGTGGTTGGGGAGGAACCCAATTTCTTCCTGCCTAGCACTCTTCCTTGGGGCATTCCGATTCAAGCTCGTATCTGATTGCAGCTTGCCTGCACCTATATGAGTGTGTATTTACACATGTATGGACATACCCACAACATAATCTATATATATATATATATAGAATGTATGTAGATACCATGGATGCATGTTTACATATGTATGCACAAATTGTATATAAGTGTGAACGTTGCGCTCGCGGCGAGTTTTAGGCCACGCACATGATGATGGTGGCGGAGCGGTGCGAAGAGCTGAACATCGCCTTTGCCGCGGTCAGAATGCCTAGAGCAGGTTCGAGAAGATTGCGTGTCAGAGGGGAAGTTCAAAATGGGCTTGGCGATGCCTTCCAAACGGGTGCCCTCGAAAAAGACACCCGCGTGTTTTGGAGAACCAAGCATGGCAGTGACCAGTTGGTAATCCAATGGATGTGGTGCAATGTTTGGGTGGGTCACATAATGACTTCTGCTCCCAGAAAGAACAAGTGTCAACACCTATCCGCTTTGAACAATATCTCCAGAAGGAAGCTCACTTCAATGTGGTGTTTCTCGAAATAGGGGTCCCCTAAGATGGTACGCGGTGTTTCTCGAAATAGGGGGCCCCTGAAATGGTTAGTTGCCTTTGATTTCCCTTTCAATACCAACCATGGTCCACCATTTTGAAAAGCTTGCCATTGGCCTGGAAGTGAGCGGTCTTTCCAAGCTGATGGAATCATGAATGGCTGCGGACAGCCGCCTAGGGCGCCAGGGGCTAGGAGACCCCGCATTTCTTGGCCCAAGTTTGGGGTACGGCGAAGACGCACAAGTTCAGATTCTTGCCCTGGTCCTTATTTGAGAATGGAGAGCCAAAGTTGAAAGGCAAAGTGCAATCTCTGGAAACTTTGTTTACCGTTCTTGGGGAAATTAGGGAACCTGTAGACGAGCAGAATCCCACTTTGTGGAGGCCTTTATTTCCCGAGCGGAGGGGTCCAAAATCAAATCCTGACACCCCCACTGCCTAGTCTTGGAAAACCATACGTTATTTGCAGTGACATACAAAAGGGCTGGTATATCCAGAAGTGCAAGCTGGGCCACCAAAAGCTCACATACAACCTGAAAGACTCCTCCCCCCAGTTAACCAGAGATCCTTCTTTCTTTGTCCCTTTTTGTGGGACTTGAACATCACCTTTTTGGCCACTTTAGGAGCAGTCTCCTTCCGGTGGCGTGTGTGGGCATGTGCGGAGACTCTGAAGTTGTTGGCCGGGATTGTTTCCTTTTGGTTTCCCTTTACAACACCGCGGAAAAGGGGTACCCTAAACGAAAACACACCCGTCTGAATTTGTTGCCCGCGACGGGTCACTTCACCGAAGCTTCAAACTCACCTCGGCTCGGAGCCGAGGTGCATGACTCCTTCTGGACGCATGCGGCTGATATAACGCAGCTGAACAAGATCATCAGGGCCGGGCCCTCGCGCGCGTACTAAATGGGGGAGCCTGTTTTCCACCCCCAAACCTGTGACTTCCATTTTACCTCTTGCTTGCGCCCAACAAACCTGGGGGTCAAAAAAGCGTTTAGTCTCCAAGGGAGGAAGCAAAAGGCCACAAGCCCACAGGAAGGCAAAGGAGCCTTCTGATCAGATCTGATAGGGTTCTGAGGACCTTGTTCTTCGGGGACTTTGTCTAGGGAACCCCCAGAAGAAACGACAAGATTGTCGAGGTTGCCCAGCCACTTGGGAAGAGGAACCCATGAGTGGACATGGGGTCTGATTTACTGATGCCTCAACACAATCCACAGTTTGGTTGAGCAAACCTGATGGTTTTGGGTTACCTGAACGGTCAGTAACCCTAGTTACAACTTGCCACTGTAAACGGA